TTCATTGGACAGTTAGAAAAAAAAAACACTCAATACACCTGTCAAAAGCCCCCCCGTCAACTACCCTGTGCAAAGCAGCATTATTCTTTAAAAAATATAGAAATGTTTCCTATGATTATAAACAAATATACATTTTTTGTTTTGTCCTTTTTTTTTAATTTTTTGTAATAAATAATATTTTCTTAACAACATAATTTTCAAAGGAAATTAAAAAACTTAAAACCTTACGTTGCTTATTTCATTAATAATATTACAAGTTGCATGTCCAATAATTGTTGACTATATATCAAAATTTATATGATGATATATATTTTATAAAATCCGTAGTTAATGAAGGGTAGGATTGTTTATTGTTTATAATTATTTCAAATCATAATCATCATTTGAATTTTAAAATGACTGCGTTCACTGAACTTGTGCTTACGGGAATACCAAAAAAGAATGAAAAAATAAAATTGCATTCTCCATTATGTTATAAAATTAATTTCAAAAGTAGACCATAGTTTTGTTATTGAATATTTCGAAGAAATGGAAGATTAGGATAGTTATGAACTAAATCCTGCTTTTTTATGCTGAAAAAAGGTGGTACATGAAAATAAGTCATTCTTATTCACTTTTTTTCTATTTATCCCACTTTACTTCAGAGGTTCGATGTTGACGTTGAAGTATAGTTGGTCGATTTTGGGAGAATTGATTCCTTTTCGATAGTGGGATTGGACCAAATCCATGGCATGCTCTGTTGATGCAATATCTGAATATTAAATTATGTTTCCAACTCCAAGATTCTTTTCCGATTAACAAAGAAAGCTTTGCTTGCTAGCTGGAATTTTGTATTTACATCTCCATGAATTTCTTTATACAGAGAAATGAGCCGACTTCTCCTCATTATTTTATCAAAAAGGCTAAAGAAATAGGATGGTGAACGACCCAAAAACAGGGGGGGGCGAGGTGGCAACACCTCGCCCCTTGATTTGAATTGTGGGTCATCCAAATCAACGTCCGAATGGAAGCCACATCAAGCCCCTATTTTTGAGTCGGTTATCGACCCTGTGCGTATAGCAGAACTCTTATTTTGTAGGAGCCTTTTGGTAGAGCTTCCAATCTTCCATTTTTGCTACCGCTTCTCGTAAAAAAATTTCTTCAAAATTTTTTCTTAAATCGGCTTTCTCTAAAAGCTCTTGTAGCTAGACAAAATACTTTTAGAAATTTTTTAAACATATTCCATGACTTCTTAATCTCGGATATAACTTTTTATTTTTTAAAAGCACTGTCATACGAGCCCATAATGATACTTTAAGAGATATATGATTCTTTTTAAAGTTCATGAATTTTTTTTATGTCAATTGCCTGCAATATATATTCTCATTTCAACGTCTTATAACATGTTAGTAACTTTATGTGAGAAAATATATAATACAAAAAATCTTTCTGAGAACAAATTTAAAGTTATCTAGAAATATTGAACGAACATGTGTTTCTAGAAGAAATGGTGGTGATCAAGAAATAACTTAAATTAAACCTCCCCTCCCCTCCCCTCTCCTCTTAGCATAAGTTTTCAATTTTGTGAAATTTTAATTTCTCGTTAAAAAGGAACAAATGAAAATTGGTCCAAAATATTTAGTACAAAAATAAATTGGGAGTGTCGTCAACTGAGAATCAACGTGCAATGCACGTTTGCCTAGTTTATATTTAAGAGCTTGTTTGGTAGAGATTTTTTGGGGGAAGAATTGATTTTGAATAGTGATATGATGGGAAATGTGTGGTTGAAAAAAAAGATAAGATTATTGATGTGATGGAAAATATTATTTTATTGAAAAATATGAATGATGTCTAAATCAAAGTTGTAGCCAAATGGGTTAGCTTTCTAACGCATTTTTAATTGCCTCAATCGAACATCGGAATACAAAGTTATGATAAAAACACTGAAAGAAGGTGCAGCTGCCTATTTAAAACAAGAAATTCAGTTACATAATCCGTTAAAACAACAAATTCCGTTAGTTTTTCCGTTAAAAACAAGAAATTCCGTTACATAGCCACTTTTAATATATAGAAGATATATATGTATATACAAACTTTTTTGAAATTTGATCATTTTTAAAGAAAACTTTTATAAAATATGTAGAAATCTATTCAAATTTACGAAATTAATTAAAATTTATAATAATATTTTAAAGTTCATTAAAATCATAATTGAAGACACAAAGAATTTAAATGTTATATGCCAACTTTTGCATATTTAATATTATCATAATAGTTTATTAGTTTTTTAATATTAAATTTATTCCAAATGTCAAGAGTATGAAAAATAAAAATCAAAGGGATTAAATGAAAAATAATTATTTCCCTGTGCCAGGGAGGAATCTATTACCAAAAGTAAACTTCATGAGATTGCTTTAAACAAGTTTGCACATCAAATGACGTGTACAACAATAAATTTATCAATTTAATGACAGTCACACATATATCCACCGGCTACTGAGCTACAAATCTTGACCTTAGCCTTTGAAAATTTTGTAATGAGAAAGGGCGTGGCATTACACTTGCACTATTTTTATAAATAGATAGCTTATAAAATTTGAACTCAATCATCTCCTAATGTAAATTGTTCAAAAACGAAATTAAGGCAAAGCTTCTTAAAAAATTGTTAAAAAAATTTGACTTTGTAAAATAAAAAATTAAAGCTTAAAACTTTTCACGCCTACACCCCTTCTAAATCCGCTCATAATCACTATGTTAGTTTGTTGGATAATTCACCAGAGAAACGATGTGATCTGTATGAAGATTGTATATATGGAGACGAGAGTGTGCATGTGTGCGTGCGCATGCGGAGAGTATGTTTAGAGTGTACTCATGAAAAGCTCTCAAGCCTCTTTTTACTGTATGAAGACACTTATTTATAGACAACTAGTTAGGTGAAACATGTACCGCTCATTGAGATCACACATGGCAATCACGTCCTTGAGTTGGTGAAGGGAGTTCGATGATTTGGTGGCAAAAAAATGTGTACTTCACATGGTAAGTGTTTGGAGTTCTAGCTATTAGAAGGGAGCTTGACTTTATTCGATAATTGTTTTGACAAAGCGAATCAACCAAAGTTCAGACCTTCTCGATCAACAATATCTAAGCATGGCTCAATTGTGTAGAGTTTGAGCTATGCTTGACCACTTCATTATTGGTCGTGCCTTTTAAGGCTAAGGTACATCCATGCCCCATGATGGAGCATTACTCTACTCGTTTCTACAACCATGCCTTTTAAGGGACGACCATGGTCAAGGTCTAGTCCTATGACATTCAAACGTGCCTTTTATTGCCCATGTCACGTGGTGTTTCGGTGATTTGAGCATAGTTATTAAAATCGAATAGAACAGGTCGATCAAGCTCGAAAATTGGCAAATCGGATTGTGTTCTAGTCAGGTTGCTCTAATTGATACATTTAGCAAGCGAATCAGTAAAAAAATCTGTTGAACTACTCAATACAAGCCAAACCGAACGAATTTTGATGAAATCGGAACTGCTTCAAGGATGAACTTGTTTGTTACAAAGTCCAGAGGAATTTTTTTTCTTTAATGTGCAAAGATAGAGATTCGAACTTGGGCATTTGAAATGAAATATCACATCCATAACCATTACGCCAACAACTCAACTTATGTCATAAAAGTGAACTAATACGTGTGTATTTTATATTTAGAAATTTTTTATCTATTGGTTTAAAAAATATTTTTTAATTAAAATTATGATCTAACAATGACCCACCGGTTGAACCACAACTCGGTGACCCAATGATCTTCCGGACCGATGAACGTGTCAGATATGATAACTATGGATTTGGGTCTAAGACCTTTTTCCCTTGACACCAACGTGTGCAAGTCACTTTCGACTATAATGTGGAACGATATTGTACGCCATTGATGAGCTCAGGAACTTAGTACATTAATATTCTGTAACAGAAAAGTAGTCGTTTTTGAATTGGATACATAATACTCATACATATTGCATGTGCATTTTAATGTGTTGCGCTATAAATTACAAATATAGAGTACTCGTGACTATATTTGTCGACGTGAGAAATTGCCTCCCTCATTTGATACCATTCATATTAAATGAGTTCGGCGAAGAAATTTCTCTTTTATATGATATGAGGTAGTATGTAATACTATTAAAATGCGTCCATTTGACACAGAGGTGAGCGAAAGTACTAGAACCAACTAAACTAAATCGGATATGAATTAACCGGTTCAATCTGGTTTTGCTTATGTATTAAATAGTTTTGGTTACTATAACCTAGAATTGGTCGGTTCTAGTTCAATTCTCGATTCTTGTACTCAGAATCAAGAATACCCAATTAATCTCTTTTATTTTTTCATATTACTGCACCAGTCACATGGAACAAATAACCCATTTTAATGCATTGTAATATGTACGAATAATTTTGAAATTTTAGTTATGAAATCGAAGTAAAACAAACTGGAACCATTCAATTTATTTTGATTCTATAATTTCAAATGGAACCTTCGGTTCATTCATAAGATACTCGTTGATTTTCCGTTCCGTTATCTTGCACACTCCTAATTTGAGATATTGTGAAAATTTACGAAAATTGAGTAATTACAAATATATCTCTAAGTAGAATGTCCCATTTGATACCATCCTTAATCAAGAAATCAAGTAATGAAATTGCACTTAACTATTAAACGAGATCGAGTATAATATTCTTAATGAACTCGATTTAACGTGAAACGGGAAGCTATAAATATTGAGTAATTGAGCGTAGAAGGTAGCATACCCCGTTTGATACCATCCATATTTAAGGCGGGTCATAGAAGAAAATTGCTCTTAAATATTATACAAGATGACATGAGCAGATAACGGAGGGGGACAGTTATTACAATTAAACACAAAAAGAAAAGCTAGGTGATGAAATTAAAGGAAGAAAATAAACTAAAGGCGAAAAAAAGAACCTATTTCTTTCCACCTGTGGCAAGCCCCTTGGGTCAACCTATTCAAATAGACCTCTTTTTGGATTTATCGGCAAAAGATTTTTCGAAAAAACCTAGCCTGTCATCACTTAATCTTGTTCCGTAGGCTGATTTCTTGTAGTCGTACCACGTGAACTCATTGTACAAACTTTCTTCTCCTTGTTCCATTATTGATGGTAAAGGTGTGATCTTTTCAGTCAAAGGTGGTCCTCCAAAGAAAATCATGGAAATTCGAGAATTCAAACTGCCAGCCAAAACTCTGTGCCTTACACTCCTGAACCTCCCGTTGGTCAGTACCTGCACACACCAAGTCTTTGACTCAAGTTCACGAATAGAAAATTTGCTCAAGTCTCTGTTGCACAGAAATAAATGCGAAAAAGGGGAGAGAATAATGGGAATTAGGCTATAAAGAAAGCAACATAAAGTTAAATAAATTGATTGATAGTTACTATTAAAGAAATTTTAATTATATATACTTTCGGGTTCCGTTTGACATAAGTTTCAAGAAGTCAAAAGAAGATTCCGTGGTTAGAAAGGTTACCTGCAATGAATCACCAACATTGATGAAAAAGGAGGACTGATCAGGTGGGACAGAAACCCATGTACCATCTTTCAGAGCGATTTGCAGGCCTGATGTGTTGTTAGATCTTATTATAGATATTATTTGTGGGTCTGTATGATCACCAAAACCTATTAAATTTCGACCACTCAATGCTTGAAGCTCCGAGCATGGCGGATAATGGTTTAGCCTAAAACAAGTATCACTTTTCTCATCCCTTAACAGCTTGCTCAGAATGTCTCTTGGACCAATTTTCAGTTCCTCTGCTATCATTTCCAGTACCTCACATGCCATATTTCTCATTGCTGACACGTATTCATTCACAATAGACCTGCAAATACGTTTTAAGAATTAAAGGCCCTTTTTTAACCATGCAAGAAAAAAGAAAAACCGAGAGTAATTTTTTACCAGAAAGATTCTGAAATTCCTGGGAGAATGAATTTTCCTTTCTGGGAGAAAAGTTCGGGGTTGGTGCTAAAGAGAAGATACTCGACCCAACCCAGATCACCATTCAGGCCAATTTTTTTGTTACCATAGCCAAAAGGGTTAGGAGGGCCCGACTTTTCTTTTTCGGGCTTTGGTAAATTGAAAAACTTTATAGCTTCATCTTCTAATTGAGCTATGTACTCCGTTGGAACTCCATGGTTGATCACTTTGAAGAATCCAAATTCTTTGCAGGCCTCAACTATGATGGTTTTAGCATCAGGGTCTAAGAGGTCCACTACTGGAATTTCAGTGAAAATGTTAGAGGTGGGCATACATGTTTTGATGTGAGCAAAATTTTCAACAACTGGCTGAGACAACACTACCATGGTGAAGTCGGCGGCGGAGGAAAAGTCTAAATTGACAAAATGCTAATGCATGAAGAGGAAGGAGGCGCTAGAATCTACGAAGACATTGGGCTTTAGAGTGCCCGGTTGGCAATTTATACTACCGAGGGGGGAGTTCTCGTTGAAAATATTAAGAAAAAATAGAAACGGAATCAGAAGTGGGGCACATTTAAGTTTTAAGTTCTTCCAGTGTTGACACGTAGCCATGGAAATTAAAAGTACTAAAAGAAAAAGCTTTTTAGCGAAACTACAATTTATATATGTCCGAACAATAATTCTTTCATTTTAATTTTTAATTATGTATTTATTATTCTGAGTTTATTTTGATTCGAAGAAGTCGTAAATTGTTTTAAAAACTTTATTTTTCTCGAACTCATTTTCATTCATTTTATTCTATTCATAATTTTTATCAGGTTTTCAATTATACATATCATTAATTTTTATTAAAATCTATTGAAATTTTGATTTTTACCTAAATCAAAAATGGACTTAATATCCTCAAATAATAAATGAAAAGTAGACTTTGCACACCAATTATTTGGATTAACTTTGAAAGAGAGAGTGCATTCATTAACGTGTGATTAGGACACATCCTTAACATGGGCCAGCACAAAACACTAGTGACTACATGAACGATTGGACACTTGAACTACTTGTTCCAACCCCATTGCTGTGGTTGCAAATTTAATCCCTTTGTAAAGGAATCAAATCTTAAATTAAAATTAATCATTAATTTTAATGACTTATTTCATGAGTTCTATAATTTGTAACTACACGTTTCATTGACCCTTATTAAAATCTAATAAAAATCTGATTTTATTTCCCACAAACAGAGCCTATGATTAATGTTATTTCTAATATAAATTCAGGTGACAACATATAAAGGCCATATCTGATCCCATTATTCCAATTTTAATTCACCTAAAGAGACAAATCTAAAACCATCGTATTTAGTCTTACAAATTTTTAAGTCATTGTTTGATTTAACTAAAAATTAGATTTTTAATATATTTTGATAAAAAATCATAAATATAAACTTAAAATTTCATAAAAATTGTGGATCATATGAAATATACGATTGATAGTAAATTTAATAAAATGGAACCAAACGGGAATTAAATATAATGCACGGAGCAAAGCACCGACGTTAACATTGGAATTGCTTTTGAGAATCTCATATTCTAAAGGCCAAATAACGCGTGGTTAAAAGTGTGAAATAATTTTTCGATGCCATAAAGAGTTATATTGCCAAAATTAGACACGCGGAACATGCAAGCTTTCACACGACAAAAACATATTCTTCCCTAAAGAGTTACCTAAATAAAAAGAAAGGAATCTAAAACCAGAAATATTCTAAATATTTGATTTTCAATGTCAGTGAATTTGGGTCCAATTGCAATGGTCCCGAATTTGGCTTCACTGTCGGAAAGGGGCAGATAGATAGAGATAGTGAAGGACGCCAATTAACGGACTGAATCTGTACACAACTCAAAACTGACTATCTATTCCGGGTTGCTATTAGTTTCTGGCACGGGGAGGGACCCTATTCCTAACTGGGATTTTAATTACTCGGGGAAAAATAAGAGATTGGGATGGCAATGTACACGAGCTCACCTAGACAATTCTGATCTCTATAAATTAAAAATATAGTCGCTAAGACTAGCTCGTCTTTTTTGAAACATCTAGTAGGGCTTCTTGGCCACACGGAGTTGTGGTATCGAATTTCAATTTTTATTTTGTTACAGCTCATTTAATATTCATATATTTTAAACGACATACAATCTTAAAAGTACTTTCAAACATGCACTAAATCTATTCACATTACTTTAGTAAGGAAATTATGATTGTTAACATTCTACAGAGAAACCAAGACACAATATGAGAACTCGGGCATAGTGGCTAAGGAACATTGACAACAGTGGGTGTACGTACATAGGATTCATTCAATGGGAAGACTGATGTAATGCTGATGATTTATTACGTTCAAAAAGTAATGTGGTCTGTCTTATAACATATACATATTTATGAGGCCAGCTCTTAAATTTTGAATGCCATGTGAGACATTTTAAGTTGGTGCCCATTTCACGAAATTAAAAAATATATTTCAATAATATTATATCATAACAAAATTATGATATTTAAATGATGTTTATTTTTTCAAATGTCACGAATAAGAAAAGTACAAGTAAAAATCAAAAGCAACTCTCAAACTTCATCAAAATTCATGTCATCAACAAAGAATCATTAAAGCCACTAAACTCTTTGTGTAATTCCATATGAATAAATCTTGAAACCAGAAATATCAAATACCACGTGTAAACTTTGAAATGCAACAAATTATGTAAAAATATTTCTTCTCTCATTTTTAGAAGCCAACCCATTAATTAAACTTTTGTAATTAATATATTCTAGCAAATCTTGTTCAATGGATATCAAAGTCAGGCTATTTAATCGTTCTTGTAACATGGTAGGTTGTAAATAAGATTTAATAACTTCAATTTTGAAAAACTTCTTTTCGGCAGATGGAACATTAACTAATTGTTAGTAATACTCTATAAACAATAAATATATTCGAAAAACTATCCAATCTTTTCTAATAAGTCAATATCAAAAGCTGTCTTTGTTTTTTTGGTAAAAGTTTTTACAAAATTTTTCCCTCTTGAAACAAATCTTTGCCTGCAAAAATTTACATGTCTTAGAACAATATCAAGGTGATTACAACATACTTTCGAATTAGCATCATCCGATGCGTTTAACTTGTCAGAAGAAAATATAAATCCAATTTTTTTTCATATGAGTTGAATTGATCGAACTTTCGTTCAAGTGATCCAATTGCTTGATCTACCGTATAAATGAAATAATTGGTTATGAAAGAATCTTCAAGTAATTGTACGTCCTTTACAGTGTCATTTTCATCAAAATGTTTCTTCCTACGAATTATAATTTTTCATTATTTCCCTTTTCCCTCACATTATTTAAAGCGGGATACTATTTAACAAAATTATATTCAAGAAAATTATAATTGTCAATTACATTATTCTTAACTTTAGTATCTTATAAAATTGCATATCATATCAAGTCAAATGCCTACAATTAATAAATAAATAATTCATAAATGAAAATAGTTACAACACACTGAAATTAGTTATGAATGAGCCTAAACCATCTGAATCCTTTCACTTGCTTTAATAAAAATGTCTTGATATGATATGTAATTATAAATAAGAAATACCACACTATTAACTAAAAACCCTTATTCGTCTATTTTTTAACTCATTTTTCATAAACATTGTGCCGTTTAACTTGATATAATAATTAAAATTTTAAATTTTAAAATTAATAAATAATTAAAATTATACATATATATATACAAATAATAATAATAATAAAAAATTGGTACCTCTAAAATAATGAGGTCATGTGAGGTCGCTCAACTTACTTACTCTCAGAACCACCTCTGCATATTTACACATGTGGTTCTAAACTTCATGTACGATTCAACGTATCAAAAAATACGCTCACTGGAAGATTAATTAATGCACGTGCCGAAGTCTACGAGTATCAGATTGGTCAATCGTAGAGACGAGCAAGTTTTCAATATCATTGGCTGAGAATTTTCATGGAAAAGTGACGTTGGAAAGTGTTGTTTTATTCATTGAATATTATGCATATAAACTAAGTAGTAAAGGAATAAAGCGATAGTAGTGATGAACAACTACACTAAAGAAAACTAAATGTGAGCCAGCTAATTTGTAATAATCCGATGATCTTGGACTTAAGTTTATTCTTGATTTCCTATTTTATGAAGTAATCTCACGATCATAATCATTTGAACTATATTCCCTAATGTACCCCTCAAGTTGGAGAGTAAATGATCATGGACTCTTAACTTGCATCAAAAATCATAGCGGACTCCATGTCAAGGGCTTGATGAAGACATTTGTCGATTTAGAAATCAATGGAACATAACTACTACAAGAGCTCCCATGGCTACCTTTTTATGAGCAAGATAGAGTTCCAAATCATTCCACTGATGAGACCACTATTGATAAATTTTGAAGTTGCATTGTTCATTGTCGTCGACGATCTCCTCTAATGGGGTTTCATCACTAATAAGATGATGATACACGTCAAAACTACGGATTAGCGGGACGACTTGGAAACTCCACAAGATGAAGTTTGAGTTATTGCTCTTTTTCGAAAATGAAGCCGCGCGAGTCCTTCATGGTTTCGTGTAACCATGAATCATGATAACCCCTATTTAGTTTGGTTAAAAATTAAATTTGATAAAAAAAAAATTGAAAAATATAATTAGAAAGTTGTGAAACTTGTAAAGTGGGTGATTGAAAATATTTTTTTAAAAAAAAAATAAAATTGAGGCCAAACAAGACCTTTATGTGTTGCATGGACTTCAAACATTTTGGGCATTAACTTGCCCACATTTTCTTTGGGCTTTAATTTCATGAACTTGGTGATGGGCTTTTAAACTGCTGGCAGATGGATGTGAATTAAATGCAAAGCTATGAGCGACGTGGCTGAACCCCATTCGTTAATGTGGAAATTACACAAAACACTAGTTTATGTATCAACATTTCCAAAATCAGATTGGAAGTTTCACATTTCCAAAATCAGATATTTTATTTTAATTAATATTTTTATAAAATTAATATCCCTAACCTAAACTAAATTCATCTACCACACATCCCTAACCTAATTCTCTCCCACGCCCCCATATCTCTCGCCTCTGTCACAGACCTCACACAACCACCACCGGCGAAGGCGATCCACACAGAAACCACCGGAGGCCAGCGCTGCGCATGACGGCGCCGACATGCCCACACACAACTAGCAACATTTGGTTCAGGTGATGGCGAGGTGTCGGCGACCCGCAACGGTGCCTCGCTTCGCATCCTGCAGGCAGCGGCGTTCATTGCCTGTTCAACCTCGCCGCACGCCGTTGTCGAGATCCGCTGCGTGCCGTGGCCGAGATCTGCAGCTCAGCGATCTGATGTGGGTTTTTGGGTGGTGGTGGTGTTTGGGTGGCTGTGACTTTGTTGTCGGGAGGTGGTGGTGATGAAGTTGGCTGCGGTGCTTACGATATTGGTTTTGTTATCAGGAGGTGGTTCTGGCGACGGTGGATGGTTGCTATTGTGGTTGTGCGGCTGCGGCTTCGGCTGTGGATGTGATTGTAGGTTTGAGAAATTTTTTTGTTGGCCGTGGTGGAGGTGGGCGATCTATGGGTACGTGTGCTGATCTGTGTTGTTTTGGCGGTGGTGGCAGTGGAGTTGGAGGTGGAGCTCTGTGGTGTCGCGGCGGTGGTGGTGATGACTGGTGGCAGTGGAGGTGTGTGGTGTCGGGATTGGTCACGGGAGCCTAAAATCTAACTGTGACTTTAAATTTTAACTGGTGGCAGTAATGAGGTGGTGGTCACCGGTTTGGTCACAGAAGTTGGTGGTGGTCACAAAAAAAATCTAACCGTGACTTTAAAATTGTGACTAAAAATTAATATGTGACCAATAATTTGAAAATATGTGACTGATAGATAACTGTGACCTGTAATTTTTTGATCTGTGAACAAAATAATATGTGACCTGATTTGTGACCTCGAAATAAACCATAACCTACAAATTTTTTGATCTGTGACCAATAAAAAAATCATGATCTATAATTTTTTTGACTTGTGACCTCAAAAATAATCCGTGACCAATTAATTATGTATATGTGACCATTAATTGTATAATTGTAATATCATTATATTTAATTAATAAAATAAATAAATATTTAATTAATAATATAAATAATTGTCGGAATCGAAAAAGTCACCGGAAAAGTCGCGGAAAGTTCGTCGGAAAAGTTCGTCGGACGGTCACCGGAAAAGTTCAACAGAAAGTCGCCGGAGCGATAGGGGTAGTGAAGGTGGAATCGGTTAATTATATTATATTGTAATTAAATATTTAATAATAAATGAATTTATTTCATAAATAAAAATTTAAAAATTTTTAATAAAAATCTGATTTTGAAATTTTCAAACTTGTTTTCTTATTTTTGAAATAGGCTAAACTTATTCTCTTGAATATGTAATCTTCCCTTCGTTAATTTATCTGTCAGTTATATAAAATGAGTTATTAGCACAAAATGTTCCTACATTTGACGTTCAGTGTGCAAAACGTTCATACGTTTTATTCTTTTTTTGCATTTTCACCCATATTTCCACGTTTCATTGTGGAAATCGTTATTTTCATCCATTTTCTCAATGAAAAACTGTAAAATAACAAATATACCCTCATATTTAAATAAAACGAAAAGAAAAGAAAGATAAAAAATAAATTGTAACCATACTCCTAAATTTTTTTAATAAAATATAAATAATTTAAAAAATAAAAACAAAAATCATCCCCTTTTTTTCCACCACCATTTCACTCGCCCGAAACACCATCCAACCGCCACCTTAACCATTGAAAACCACCACCACCATACAACCATCCATCCCATCGACACAACACACCAACCTGCTCACCCAAACCCTACTAGACTTGACTACAATTGGCAGCCAAAACCTCCAACTCACAACACACTAAACCTGGGGCACCATGACTTCCGGTGACTTTCACGATTATGGCCTACCACCAATAGGTTCCCTTCATCAAGACGACCTAAACCATGGTCAAACATCAACCAAAACAACCTCCAATCGATTTGCTGTTTAATATTGTATTTACTGTTTAGAAGGGGCAATGGACCACATCACATGCCAAAATGGGAAAAATCACAACTCAAGTATTGACTATAGGCCAATTTAATTTTCAGGTTTAAAGTTTCAAAATTAAAAACTCGGGTAATAAATAAATATTTTAAAATATTTTATTAATTAAATATATTAAAGTCACAATCATACAATTAATGGTCACGTGTACGTATTTATAGGTCATATATTATCCAATTAATTGGTCACAAATTATTTCACTGCCACGAATTAAAAAAAAAATATAGGTCACAAATTTTCAAATTAATTTGTCACAAATTATTTTTCATTTACAAATTATTGAATTTTTAGGTGACATTAAATAGTTGATCACAAATAATCAAATGATTGGTCATATACGCTAAACACCTCATCCCCACCTCTGATCCCGATCCACCACCAATTCTTGGTCACAAATCAATCGAATAATTGGTCACAAACACTCTTCATTCGACTCCACAACCATCGCCACCACAACCATCGTCAACATCAACAACAACAACAACATTGACATCGCTACCACCAACAAAAATCACCCCACCACCAAAACATGAAAAATCACCACCATTCCAAAAACCAAAAATTTAACAAGAAAACCACCATGGCACCATCGTCACATATCAGGCACTATTATCACAAATTACGCACCACTCCAAAAAATCAACAAATCCAACAAAAACCACCACCATGTCACTACCGTCACAGATCAAGTGCAGGGTTACCGTGCACCAGATTGCGTCGAGTAGCGATGACGTGAGGATGAACAGCAGATCCGACACCAATGCCATCGTGCACAAGATCGTGACATACCAACAAACTAGATCGTAGCATACCAACCAAACTAGTGACGTCATCCATTGATAAATCTACGTAGCCGCGCAGCATGTCTAATGCTATCGTTCAAGTGTGCAACGATGATTTTGTTAATCATCGTCGTTGCATGCGACGACTCTATGAGCGCCCCTCATAGATGGCCCCGTGAGAGAAGATTGAGAGGCAGAGAGAAGATTTGGCGTGCAGCGACGATTTTCCCAACATTGCCTCTGCGCGCAACGGCTATATGAGCACTACCTTGGAGATGGAGAGAGAGAGAGAGAGATGGTTTTGTAGTGGGGTGCGTGGTAGGATGGGAGTGGTGGGTAAATTTTATAATATTATTAATAATTTCATTAATATCTTATTTTTGATTAAAAGAACTTCACACCCAATTTTTTATTTTTAAAATTTAAATACCTATTAATATGTAATTTCCACTGCTGAAATTACCCCAATTGTAGCAGTAAGTTAATGGACTATAAGTTAACCGCTGCCTAGTGGGCCGCCTACAGTGTAGCCTAAATACTGAAACTTCTACAAGCAAGATCGATATATGCATGGGAAGATTACATATTTAAGAAAATAAGTTTAGCCTATTTCAAAAATAAGAAAACAAGTTTGAAATTATCAAAATTAGATTTTTATTATAATTTTTTAAATTTTTATTTATGAAATAATAAATTATTAAATTAATTTATTATTAAATATTTAATTTTAATATAATATAATTAATCCATCCCACTTTCACCACTTCTACCGCTCCGGCGACCATTCCGATCACCGTCCTACTCCGGCGAACTTTTCGACAACCGTCCGGCGACAACTCCGATTCCGGTGACCGTTCCGGCGACCATTCCGGCGTCGATTTTTTCCGGCGACTGCTCCGATTCCGGCAATTGTTCCAACTCTAGCGAATATTTCATCGACAACTCAACTATATTTTTTTGTACGGTTGACATTTTTTCTTTACAGTCACAACCCAGGTCACAAATCACAAGTCACAGTCCATGTCACAAATCACAGCTCAGGTCACATGTCACAAATCAAGAGTCACAGCTCAGATCACAAGTCACAAATCAAATCACAAGCCAGGTCACAGGTCACAACTAAACACCACAGCCCCACCACCGATCCCGATCCACCACCGATCTTAGTCACAAATCACCACTAAACACCCCCAATCCCTATCCACCACCATTGGTCACAAATTGATCAAATAAATGTGAAACTTCCAACCCCAATCCTCCATTGCACCAACCGAAAGCAGCTCCACCTCACCACTACCATCACTGGTGCCACCTCCAACAAACTACCATTTTCAATTTCAAAACCATCGCCACCAACAAGCAACCAACAAGATCCAACATTTCTAGTTCAAATACCAGATCGCAGGCACACCAATCACTGCCCAAAAATCAGAAATATCGTTGCCCAAAAACCAACAAACCATTGCACCTTTGCCACCAACAAGATCCAACAAAATCGCCGCCCAAAAAGCACCAACAAATCAGATTGACAAACGCTGTCACCTCGCCATCACCAGAACCAGAATGCCGCTGGTTATGTGCGATCGTGCTCAAATCAGATCGCGCCTTTATCAGTGAACTCATCAGTGATCTTCCCACTGGGTCCACCAATCGTAGCTTTAGATAGTGCCGATGGAGCTTTTTGTGACCTATTCCGGTGGTGTACTGAGCAACGCGGTGGAGGAAGTGGCCGGCGGGGGAGGCGCGAGGCCTGGGTTTGGAATTAAGGGGGTGGGTGCGCCGGGCACCGGTGAGATCGAGGAGAGAGAGGGAGATGGAGAGAAGATGAGTGATTAGAGTTTGGAATTTGGAATGATTTTTATATTTTAAGGGTTTGACAGTGATAGATGTGTGTAAAAATATTAATTAAAATAAAAAATATCTGATTTTGGAAATGTGAAACTTCCAACCTGATTTTGGAAATGTGAATACCTAAACTATGGTTTTGTGTAATTTCCTCTATATGCATTCCGACTCTTTTGGACCCATCGAGGCCCAATTATGGGAAATCTTAATGTGCTTCCTCAATCCCCATAGCAAGATTGTTGGATTTGGTCACACGAGGGCATTTTTTATTTTTAATTTAGATCTCAAGGCATATGATTGAAGTTTATAGGTTTAATCACATTCACTAGATTGAGAAATTATTAATCATCTCATCCAAACTCGAGGGAGACTATATTATTAAGTCTTTGGCACGAAGATCAAATTTATTTTCTAATCATTAGTCTAACACGTCGAAACTTTCATAAATAAATAGCGACAAGACTCGAACTCAAATCTTTTGCTCATTTTTGATACTATGCTATTAAACTCATCTAAAAGGTTATAATTTCCTTTTCTAGATGAAAATAAGAATTGTCAATGCCGACCTACTCTAGAGTACAAAAGTTTTGCTTTACTTCGGGAAGAAAGTTTTTTCAATTAATCTCAACCCTCAGAGTATCATAGCATACAAAATTATTGAGTTCAAGTATCACTACCGTCAATTTTTACGAAAACGAAAAATTCACCTAAAAAATAGAATCAAAATTTATTTACATTTAAGAGTTGAACAAGAATAAATAAATGCATCCTATGAAATTAATGGTTCCTTGTTATACAGTGGGACCACTGGAGTGGAATATTGTCTTTTGAAAATACTGCAACAGTGTCCAAAAGAAAGAAGGGAACTCATAGGAATATCGTTAGGTGATTGTTACAACCTAATTAGGTAAATGGGGAAGGTAATATCCACACCACTCCTCTGCCAATCAAAGCTCCTCTGTTTTTCGTTTCTCTACCTCTTTTCCTCTCTGTTTTTTGCTATATATTTCTCTTTTTCTTCAACCAAATGCATTTTCAGATCATCTCCCTTCGATCCCATTCAATCCCCTCTGTTTTTCTACCCTTCATCTTATGGAGAACACAAATATGGCATTCCTACACTGCGTTCATCCTGCAAGTCTCCTGTTTTCTTCTCAGGTAAATTGAAATATTGATTAATATGTATTTCATCATAATGCTCGTTGGTTTTTTATTATATTATGGTTTTAAATTATGGGTTTTTCACGTTTTGTTAGATTATTGGGAAGTTTTGAAGGAAATCCAAGAAATATTCAGGAATTCGACGGCTTTAGGCTCCCAGTCTTTAAAGTATATGCAGAGGAATGCTGATAGTTTTGGTGGCAATTTCAGTGTTAAGAAAAGATTTTCTTATTTTGATCATCGTGAGGATGGAAGAAAAATCCCCTGTGGATTCTTTAAACGTTTTCCAATCAGTAATTCTGGTTAGTAGTTTTATTACATTGTAATTGTGAACATTACATTTTCCATTTGATTTGGTATTAGAATTAAATTACTCTTGTTTTGTGGGTTTTTCAGATCGTATCGCAATGGAAAAATGCGATGGCGTGGTGGTAGTTTCGGCTATATTCGACGATCACGACAAAATCCGGCAGCCAAAAGGCCTAGGATCCAAAACCCTTGATTATGTATGTTTTTTCTTGTTTGTGGATGATGTTACTCTCAAGGGATTGAACCATCACAATTTAATTTCAAGAAAATCCAAAGAGTATAAGATTGGTGCATGGAGAGTCATTAGAGTTTCGAGCAAGCATTTGTATGAAAATGCAGCAATGAATGGAGTCATACCCAAGTATTTAGTTCATAGGCTTTTTCCTAACTCGAAATATAGCATATGGGTTGACGCGAAGCTGCAACTAGTTATCGATCCACTTCTATTAATCCATTCGCTAGTTATTAAAGATAATGTCGATATGGCTATATCGAGACATCCATATTATGTTCATACCATGGAAGAGGCAATGGCAACTGCTAGATGGAAGAAATGGTGGGATGTGGATGCATTGAAGACGCAAATGGAGACGTATTGTGAACATGGCTTGCAACCATGGAAGCCAAAGAAGCCATATCCTACAGGTATTACGTTTTCGAACTTAGTGTTTGTTTGATGTGTAATATTGGATATAACTAGACATTATGATAAACATTTTCATTTTCAATATTGTTAGAAGCTATGCAATTGTCAGTATTTGCCCGATGGATATAGATCCCTTTTTGTAGCTGGTAATCCAAAAGCAAAAGGGTTATTGATTCCAGCTGAAGTTAAGGAAAAAAAAAAAAAAAAGCCATAGCTTGGGAAGTGTGCTAAAGTGATATATTCCATTAGACTCCCCCCTAAGTTCGTCAACATTTAAATCTTAATCTTTTGGCCACAATCAATTTCACAATACGCAATAAACTTCTTTTTCGAGGTTACTTGTTTCAAAAGATTAAGACAATAATTGCAAAGTTTAACCGACTACAATTGCCTAAGCCATGATAATAAGACTGCCTAAAGGTGGGCCCTAGCTTCTAGAGTGTGCTACCCTAAATTATATGCAACTTGCTTTTACTCGAAGATTAATTATTATATACAAGTTGCCTCGATTCATCTAGTATGTCATTTTTGTGGTAGCTTCTGATAGAACTGAATAGTACAAACACAATCGAAAGTGTTTTGTTTTTCTTTCTTCTTTAATATTGTTTAGCATAATTTCGTTCACTTTTCAAACATATCATATGCATCTATAAATTATGAAAACTTTATTATCGGATAGAATTGAACAAATAGACAAATTTAATTTGTCAAACATGTCGTATGTGTAAATATGCATTTTGCAGATATGCACTATAATACCTTCTTCCTCTAATGTTAATTGGCACTATCTAATTTACTTTATCTAAATGTGTCATATCTGTCTATGCATTTTGCAGACGTGCCTGATAGTGCTCTAATCTTGAGGAAGCATAGTATGGACAGTAATCTCTTCTCCTGCCTTTTATTTAATGAATTGGATGCATTTAACCCAAGGGATCAACTGCCCTTTGCATTTGTGAGAGACCGGATGAATCCAAAGCTGAATTTGAACATGTTTGATGTTGAAGTATTTGAACAAGTGGCAATGGAATATAGGCACAACCTTAAACCTGGTGGGTCCAATGTGGGGCCCAAAATTAAGAAGGCAAATTCTGATTTGTTTGCCAATGGTAGTTGTAGCAAATGCGAGAAGTATCTTTTAAAAATGTGGGGTGAATCCCATGATTGATTTTGTCTCCTGTTCAACTTTTTTTTTTGCACAGAATGAGAGGTATAAAAATGATTATTAACTAAACAGCAACCTTTGACTAGAAAAGCTGACAAATTTTACAGGTTGGCAGCAAATGTATATTGGGAATGAGTAGTTTACCAGACCCAAAATAATTAATTACAAGCCGATCCCTGCTATGTGTACAGGGAAAACATGAGATTGCCATGGGACACTTGCCATTGGAAGCTTGTAAAGAAGTTGAGCTGAACCTTGAGAGTTTGAACACTCCTGTCCAAATGGTCCGGGGTATGTTCTAGTACTTTACACGCAGCACATGTAATTCCTCTATATAAGAGGAATAACTCTTACGCGCCATAAAGTTTGGACTTATTTTATAAAATTAAATATCTATATACACGCAGAAATCTTACGAGCTACTCAAGAAAATGAACCTCCCAAAAGGCTTGCTCCCTTTAGATGGTATTCTAGAAGTGGGCTACAACGAGAACTCTAGATTCATTTGGGTAAAGCATATGAAGAGCAAGGTGCACTAATTTCGTGCAATTAGGCGTTGCGTATAGCATGATACAGAAGTCACGACCTTCGTTGAGGACCGTAGAATGAGGAAAATGAAGTGTCAAGAGCAGGGGCGGAGCTAGACTTTTAACGTAGGGGGGGCTTGGAGGTAGAGCTGAAGGGGTGAGGGCCCACGGGGGTTCGAGGGCAGCGCCCCCGAAAAAATTTTTTAGATACGTTATTAACAAAAAAATCAAAAAACGTATAAAAAAAAGTATTAATATTTAATTTAGCAAAATCATACCTTATTACAACCGTTCCCTTCGAGTTCTCATACTTTGATAACGTTGTATAACTACATTATCATCAATTCTGTCGAATACATCCTTCTCAA